CCAGGGAAACCCATGCTATTTTTCGAGCAACACGAGCAAAAAGGACACCTATGGACCTATGGCTGGGGCCATTGGAGGAAATGTCAGGAACTTGGAACCACCTAATTTTGACCCCGGATGAACAAATCCCTGTTCATTCATATGGAGGTGGTTTTGGCCCCTCCAAACGTGAAGCGTCCCCACTAAAACCAGGGACTTCCTTTGTTGTTTTTTTTTTTTTTAGAAAAAACAACTTGTTGGTTGATTAACTTGGGGTCAACATTGAGTGGCTTTCCTACGTGATGGCCAAAGGGCCCAGCAAAGTTCATGCCCATTTAGATGTTCCAACAAATGTGTTTCCCTCATGGTTTAAAGGGCTACCTGCAAAAGAAGAAAATGACAGGCGCTAGAAACGACCACTGTCATGGGCGCAGAACAAGGGTCGTTGGCCCTGTTCCAAGGTTTTCTCTCTCTGATGTTTTCTTAACCGAGCTTCACCTTGGCGATGGCTGGGTCGATTGAAAAGGGACCCTGAGACAACAGGCAAAACGACCAAAGACCAAAGGCCCTCTTAAGAGGGACATTCTCTTCCAACACATTAAATTCCATTGTGTGAGAGTACCCCAGCTTCTGCCCCCAACCAGGCTTTGGATGGTTTCTGGGGCAAATGCTCCAGGGTATGGTTTCAAAACACGAGTTGCAACGAGTTTTACATTTCCGGGGCTAGGGTTGACTTTAAAGTGGGACCCAGGAACCGGAACCATTTCCGCAAAACAAGTTGAAAAAAGGAAGCAACCCACTGGGCAACTGGGCCAGGGTGTCTCCGTTTGGTGGGCGTTCATCGTGTGGAGCCCCACGGGTGCTCCCGTACGGAGCCAGTGTCATTTTTGATGAGGCTCCGTGCCTGCACCTTGCGAGGCTCCTCCGATTCACCTGGCTCAAGCTGAATTCAAACTCTCCGAAAGGTGACAATGGGTTTTTCAGGCCAAATGTGCGCCCATAGGTGGTCTTTTGGAAGAATAGATGTGTCTCCCTGGTAAATGGAAGAAACCAACCTTCTAAACACCAGGTCTGTGATCTTGAGGGGGTCGCAACATGATTGCAAAAGCCCAGGGTACCAACTCGAGTGACGGCAGAGAGTTTAACTTCCAATTCGCAAAGACCTTGGACAAAACACATCCAAGCGCTGCTCCTGTGTGCAAGTGAGCACGCTTATTTGCCTTATGGCATGCACAATTAAATTTGCGGCCAGGGGAGTTTTTCTCGAAATGGGAAACCAGGAAACCACAAAAAAAGGTTGCTTCCTTTTGCGGATTTCCGTGAAAACGAGCTGAAAAGGGCTTCCTTGGTATGTGGCAGAGGTGGGAACTAATTACTGTGGATGGACGAAATCCTGCATCAGCTGGGATGGATAAACCGATAAAACCCTATGAGTAGTGGGACGCGCCACCTAGGAACTGGTGCAGAATTTTACATTCATATGGCAGCACCGAGTATTCCTACCTCCTGCCCTCCCACTTCTCCCCATCCATGGCCTTCTTCAATCAAGCACTCCAGCGGAAGCCACACGCTAGCGGAGATCTTTCCGCGGAACTTGACCTGGCAGATCTCTGCAGAACTTGCGCCAGGGAGGGTCCCATCTCAGGATTCCACGCGGGACCACCCGGGTTCAAAGTCCAGAGAAGCAATTTGGCAATGGAACCCAGACACAAAAAACTCCGGATTCTGGATGATTCATCCTCACCCTTCATACCTACAAGGAGCCTTTTGGACGACTCCCATATGAAACTCGGGAACGACCCCTTCTACATCGGTACCCATGAGCTTCACTGCCAGGCGCGGGAATTTCTGCGACATCTTTAGGCCTGTCACCGGCCAACAGGGCGCACGCCGGATTTTGGAACAGGCGGATTGCAATAAAGGCGCCCTGAAGTGTGCACTTCCAGCCTGCGTCGTCCCATCAGACGGGTCATCCTGCAGAACCTGGCGAGTCGCTTGGTGCGCAACTGTGGAACATGTGCTCCTTTCCGGGCGCTATCTGTACCAAAAGGATCCAAAGAGGGGGCTTCCTATCCCCCATTCACTCAAACCAGGGATTCCGCCAGTGGCAATCCCAAGCATCACGTGAATCCGCTGTGCTTGGTTGTCACCCTGGGGGCTTTTGGGGGGAGGTCCCTTTGTGCCATCGCAGACTTGGGGTTAAGGATCCAAGACTCTTGGCCCCTCGACAGATCCCGGGCTCGTGGACCACATGTCCCAACCTGGGGAGAAGGTGGAGCGAGTCCCATAGAACTTGAGATCAGATAACTCCTTGGGTGCTGTAGGTCACCCAGCAAAAAGAAGAAGTTTTTGCTGGTTAACAGGACATATGAAGGGAATCCAAAAATTTAAAGCCTAAAGATCCAACCCAATAGCGGTAGAAGTTCGATGCTCCCGGCGAGTTGCGGAACCAACAACTGGACCGAATAACACCACATGCATTGTACAAAATCTGGGGGAAGCGACGTATGCGCAAAATCTACAGTTCCAGAACCTATAGGGGATCTCCAGGTAAGCGCAACATCATGGTGAGATCGTTTTACCAAACATGCGCAGACCATGTCCAGGTCGCATCTTCTTGCAACATATTCTAGAAAGAGGAATGCAAGTGGCCATCCCGCGCTTTTCCATTGAACGCTCTATGATTCGTATGACTAGGACAGGGCCGGCTGCAGCCTGTTCAAGGATTGCGCTCAATCCTCACATACGCACTTGGAAATCCTGGGTTGGACAGATAATGCTTGGGGGATGGCCAGGGTCCGCCAAAGCTTCTCAGCATGTCTACTCTTAGGCTTTTTACAGGGCACTAAAGCAAGAACACATAGAAGCTTATTGATGCAGCATTGCCAGTTGGGCTGCTTGGCCACCATTCCCTATGAGTCACTGCAGGCTTCCACTTTTTGGCTTCCGCAAGGCAAGCTTAAACCCAGGGGTGGCTCATTCCCCCCAGCAGTAAAAGGGGAACCCCTTGGTTCAAGCCCACCTTGGGGTAGTCCAACAGTGGAGCCCTATGGGCCGCCGAAAAGGACGGCCGGAAGGCGCCGGAAATTGCCGCGCCTTGCCCACCAGCCCACACACGGACAAGAAGCGATCATCCCACTTGATCACCTCATGCGCCTGCGGGCTTGGCAGATTTGGGTGGGTGAATTCACCATCCGTTTTTGGGACCTATTTCAGTGGTTGGATCGGGATGTTCACTGGAGAGTACGGGATTTTGACCCACGGCCATGTGTGAAGGGGTCCTTAGATTCCACGCTTCAGCCGGTTGAATCGGCATTCTTGGGCAAAAAAAGACACAAAGTTGTGCCAAACAACTGGGCATACAAAACCCTCTACTAATAAGTCGCTTTCGCGGAACCTTTCGCGATGCTTGCGCGGCCCCACGTTTCACTTTCTGAGGGTCGCTTTCGCGGCGGGTTTGTTTAACCGGGTCATCTATATGGACTGGGCTGCGAAGCTCCTTCCTTTTTCCTTCGGCTGTTGGACTTACAAGGAGCGAAGCAAACAGGATGTGGGAATCCTTTCATGGGCAATTGGAGCTTTCGCGGGGCTTTCGAACAATTCTGCTGCATGTTGGATTTCGGCTCAGCTCAAAAGGTACTGGACGTGGTAATGACGGGCCCCCACGCTCACGAGCCCGGAATGGGAGCAGAAGAACGCACATAAACTGCGAAACCATGCACTTTCACGAGGCTTTCAAGGCATGTTTTTCTTCCAGCACTTTCGCCGCAAGCTTTCAAGGCTTTCCCGCCCTTCGTTCGAGCTTTCGCGAGGCCTCAATTGACCCTTGAGGCCTTCTGCTGATTTTCCTCTTTGGCGGGCCGATGTTTCAAGGGGACATCTCCGGAGCCTCCCATGCCCCAACCCGGCAAAGGCCGCCTGCCACTTTTTTCGAGGTGGGAAGCAGGTGTACGCATCATAGCCATACGGTTAGCTCAGCTGAAAGTCTGGAAGAACTAACATGAGCCTGATAGAGAACCACCAGAGGTCAAACCTTGCAAGTCCACGAAAACCTTTCTTTTCTTATTTACGGGAATCTGTCAAAGCTGGGCTTGCATACCCCAGGAGCCTGCAAATGAAGCCAAACAACTCCATCTGGTAGGCCATAAATAAATGGTTTGCCTCGATGTTGGTGTCCTTCTAAAACAAGTCCCAAAGGGCCGACCAACCGATGATTCTGGGTCCTGGCAGCCCTGAAGGATGAGATTATCATCTTACGGGGGGGCGGCTTGCCCAGATCCTGGCCCATATTCGGTGAACCGTTACTCGGTTGCTTTCTGTTCCCCTGTTAAAAGTTTAACTTTAGTGGTTTAATGGAAAACCCATTAGTTGGCAAAAAGTTAAAGTCCTAATATCCAATCAACATGCACCTCTGATTCGATTTTGTTTCATCTCTGAACTCAACAAGGTCCACCGGAAGTCGCGTCGGTTCTAGGCGTCTGGAATCTCCTTGCCGCCGTTCCCCAGTTCTCAACTCAAACGTGCTGGGCGCAGTATTAGGCTTTCGGATGTGAGTTCTGCAAGGGCAGTTGATCCGTAGCAACCAGCGCGGATGAAGCGGGTGTGCGTTGTTGCTCTCAGGGTCTGCCCATCCTACCCCAGAAATTAGGAACTCTGGCAATCCATGAAGGAAATCCCCTTGAATAGAAACCTCCCAACCAAAAAGGAAACGGGAGAGAAAGGGCACCTGGCTGGGGGACCTAGACAAGGGGAAATGTAGGCCACCCTGATGTGCCCCCTCCTCCAAATACCCACCTTTTTCCAAGTGTTTTTTTTTTGTTTTTTTATATAACCTGGTTTTTTCGGGGTAAATACCTCTTTTTTTTGTATAGGGTCGACATGATACCCTTAAAAAAGGTGGGTATTTGGAGTCTGGGTGGGGGTTCCTCCGATTCTGGGGAACAATTCTGGGGGATCTAGACACCACCACAAAAGACATGTAGGCCACCCTGATGTATGCTGGGGGGTTCCTCCAATTCGCCTCAATGGCGGGTCGCAGCTTCTCCGCCGTGACCACCCGAACACGGCGCAGGGCACGGGGGCCCACTAAGCCCTGGACGCTCGGCCGCTGAGTCGCTCGACCGAGTCGCCCCAGACATGGGTATGGGGTCAATTTTCCAAGTTTTGTTTTAGTCCATGTTTCGACTTACAAGGTGTTCACTATGGTTCAATTTTGGGTAGCCCCAGAAATGGTATTTCTGCGGGCAACGTGCTGATCCAAGGGTTTGTGTGAGAAAATCCCCAAGAAGTTGCCTCAAGCAGTGGGTAATTTGGGTATGGGTCAACATTAAACCACCAGGAATCAGACCACAGGCTTTAGTCCATGTACCAGGGTTTAATGTTGGGGTTACCCCTATTTTTGACCCACAGCCAAATAAACTTTTGGATTCCCCCCCAACTTAAACCCAGCGGTTCATTTCCCCAAAGGAGAACTGGGTAAAAAAGTCTTCCTTGGGGCAAAAGTGAAACCCTGTGCCGCCCAACACTTTGGACATCTTTGGCGGACCTCGTTCTGGTGGGGAACCAGGTCCAGCAAACACTTTCATGAGTCTTTTGAGGTCGTTCCCCTTTTTTAAACAAACATAACTCGCCATTTCGAGAAGTCTTCAACACGTTCACCGTTCACCTTGATGGTGGTTTTGGCCCTGACAATGCGCATTGGGGCGGCTGGAGGGGGGGGGCGTCGGGCTGTGGTCTAATTAAGGTTTGGTTTTGGCTTGGTGCAATTTGTTCGGCGGGTGGTGGCTAGGCGGTGGGTGGGCGGTGGGGTGTTGGGTGGATGGGTGGATGCGTGGATGGGGTCTGGTTCGATCAAGCTGCTGAAGGCAAACTTGTTTTGCGGCTTGTGTCCCATATGTTTGCCCGAGCACAAACACTTTATTGCATGAGGTACTTCTCTTTAGAGGGGCATCTACCCTTTGATTCTTCGGGCGCCGACACTGCAGAAAGGGGCCCACCCCTTTTTGGCCGAGTTGAATACACAAACCCTTCATAGAAAAGAAGCACAGGGTGCTGGGTCATGTTGGTGAAGCGCCCAAACTGAGATGCCACCGAACTTTGGCCAGCTCTGCTCGCATGTATTTTGCTAAACAGGGGGAGGGCGGTTTCCCTTTCACACATCATGTTGACCCCGGATTGATAAGCCCCTGTTAATTCATGTGGGCGTGTTCCCCTCCACTAAAGCCAGGGACACCCCCATATTAATAAGCAGGGGTTTATTAATCCGGGGTCAACATTATCTTTCTGAGCTCATCTAGGCGACAGGTTGGTGGTGCCTTGAGCCTACGACCCTCGAACCTCCCTGCCGCACCTGCGCCTGCGCCATCGCCAAAAGGCTGGGATCTTCTTCGACCCAATTCAAAAGCTCCTCGCGCCTGACGAAAAAAACGAGAGGCGGTAAAAGGCAAACGGGAAACCGGGTGACTCGAAATGGGCTCGATTTCACTGCACGTTTTTTCGTCGAATATGTTGCAAGTCTTTGAACACGTTTTTCTCAGAGCTTGAAAGATGTCAAAAGTTGAATTGCACCACACAACAAATGGGTCCTAGGTGCTGCAGACATGATGTGACGCAAGCTAGAACCACGCTGGTAGAACCGTTCTCTGGGTGCTCAGTGGCAAAGATGCAACGCAACCCCGATTCTAAACCGGTTTCGTTTTTTTGCCACAGCTGGATGTTGCATAGGGGCTCTGGGAAAACACAGAATCGTTACGGCATGTTCTCGTGGCTTTCTTTGGAACAACTCAGCTACCGGGCTACTTGGCACCCAAACAATTGTGCCCGAGCCTTTGCCTGGCGAAACCGTGCGCAAAGAGCGAAGCTCGAGCACGACTTGAGCCCGCTGAGTTCGTGGCCTCTTGTTTGAGGGAAAGGTTGGGCCAGTGAGCTGTGAATGGCCAAGACTTCTCTGAAACTGTTGGTCAACACACGTGTCATGACAATATCCGAGTCTTGCGCGAATGGCCAGTCACAAAGGAGATGGTTCCTCTATAGCAACAGGGTCTCCCAAAAACATCTCACCCCGACTGGTCAATATGTCAGTTTTGGGACGTGGGCCATAGATGGCACTTGAAGCAGGTCCAAACTTTGCCTGGAGACCGTGCCGAAGCTGAATGCAAAAGACATTCATCATGTCAGAGGTCATGGGATTCAACTCCCCGCAGCTTTCCCCAAACGCGTTCATTAATCAGGCCTTTTTAGGGTTGTAAGAGGGAAACCAGGCGCTGAAGGCAAGGTAACGCGAGGGGGGAGGGAATCTGTGCTATGGATTCCTCGAGTATGCAGCCAAGCACCCGGAAAACTCAAAATAAAGAACCAATACACTATAGCTAAGTGCAGAGGTCGGCAATTTTAGACCCGTGTCCATCATACGTACTGGATCCTGCCGTTTTCCTCCAAAGGCCTCAGTCTGAGGCCCGAATTTTGAGTCACCCACGTCATGGAGTTGGGGTCCGGGGTTCGGTGCACCTCCGTGCCTTGGCCAAAAGCGAGCCAAGTGACAAGTGACAAGTCGCCTTTTGGTAGCCACAGGCGGGCAGAAAAGGCCTTGGAACCGGTCATTGGGAGTGGGGTTGATGATTTTGGATCATGCAACATGAACGATTGGAGAAAAAAACAGTGTAAGATCGAGGATGTAGCAAGGGAACCCTCCCATGTTCGAGTTTCTCCTCTCTCACCTCCAAAGCAATGGGGAAAACCAAGGCTTTGACTTTTTGAACCCTGTGACTTGTAGCGAGGGTTCCCGGAAAAATGTCTGAACGCCTAAAATCATCCTGCAACTCGCAGAGGGTCCCAACATGGGCAACTTTGGACTGCAGCGATGGACTTCGAAGAGCGGCGAACTGTGGAGGGGGGCGGGGCTATCTCCAATTCAGCCCTCCAGCCGCAAAACCTTGTTGACATTGTTTCCTTGTCTTCTGCAGAGATACCCACCCACCCACAACTAGCCGCGGGAGATTCATGGGACAGGCACAAATGAAAGTTAACAAACATGAGTCTGGTTTGACGCAGGTGGCAACCAAACATCTGATAGATCCTTTATGTAGCTGTTGCGGATTTGCTTGGCCAATGTTCAACTCCAAGCTAGTATGCACTTTTCCACCATGGGCACTTGGCCAACTTGCTGTCGAATTTCGGGTCGCTCGCTTCTACGCTTGCTAAGCTTCGCCAATCTGAAGCAATGCACTCCTGAGACCCTTGGTGGTCCCCCCCACCCACCCCACCCCCTCAAATGGAATCCACTACCCCCAGCCCACTGCCGGGTCCCAGAGGGCACTGGGATATACACACCACATAAAGGGGGACACTCTTTGTTGACCCCCATTCCTTTTTTTCACCCCCCCCTCCTTTCTTGACCCCCCATTCCTTCAGTGGGGGGGGGGTCAAAAAAAGGGAGCCCTACATGAAGGAGTACAATGCCTCCGCTTGCACGTGACACGTTCAGGGGGAGTGGAAACCATCGTAGACCAACCATCCTATCTACTTGTCATCGCCGCGGAAGGCTTCGAGCCTCACGGTGGGCATAACTTGTTTACGGACCCTTTGGTCAGAATGTCCGCCACTTTTGAGACGGTTTCAACTCTTAAACTCATTGCCATGGATGTTGGTTCATATCTGGGGTACCCAGAAGATGATAACATGGTCAGATGCTGTTTCACATCTAGCCTGCAAAATATGAAATCGTTTTGGAGGAGACGTTCGGTATACTTGGTTTCAGGTGTGCCCTCCTGGAGGCGGACAGTCGGAACAGTGTGATGAGTTGAGGGCCGTGCCGTCCAGCCACCTTCGCAAGGCGCGGCTAACAAAAACATGGCGGTCAGATTGGGTTTCTAGCGTCGAGGGTGCTCTTTTCGGGTTGGTTGAAAGCGAAACCATTAGGACATCCACAAATTTTGAGGATTGCCCCTATATCCGCCGACATTGCGGAGGCGTGTCGGATGCTTAAGAGAGGATAGAGGATAACCCCCCCCCCAACCGCCCCGCCCGACGTTTGATACGTAGGGTTTACACGTCGGGGGGGGGGGGGGGTCCCCCACGTACCGCGCTGCGAAAACGCTGGAAAAGCCGTGCTTTTTGGGCAAGGAAGTGCAAGGAAATGAGGGGAGGAAATAGGAAGTCGACATGACAGGAAAGCAAGGGGAAATGAAAGGGAAACAAAGGGGAACTGAAAGGGACATGAAAGGGACAGAAATGAAAACAAGGGTAGTGCAGGGGGAATGAAAGGGAAACAAAGGACAAGGAAACCAATCGACACGACGGGAGATGTAGGGAAATGACGGGCAACGAAATAACGGGACATACATGGAAAATGAAGCGGAGATACCGAGAAAATGACAGGGACATGAAGGGGGAGTTGAGAGGAATGGAAGGGACATGACTCCGAACATCATGGGAAACGTGAAAAGGACATGAAGGGGGAAATCAAGGGGAAAGCCAGTAGTAGACAGTTCAGGGTCATGAAGGGGCAGTGCCCGGACATTGAGGCAACTCAGGGGGAACGTGACGCTGCAATGCAGAGAGAGAGAGAGAGAGAGAGAGAGAGAGAGAGAGAGAGAGAGACAGAGAGAGAGAGAGAGAGAGAGAGAGCGGGAGAGAGAGAGAGAGAGAGACACAGAGAGCGAGAAAGAGAGAGATGGACAGAGACAGAGCCAGAGTCAGAGAAAGAGACAGAGAAAGACAGAGAGAGAGAGAGAGAGAGCGAGAGAGAGAGAGAGACAGAGAGAGAGAGAGAGAGAGAGAGACTAGGTCCTCCAGTAGAGAGGTTAGAATGAGGGTACCCTTTTTTTCTGTAGAGAGGCGTGGGCCGGAAGGAGACAGGGAGACAGAGAGAGAGAGAGACAGAGAGAGAGAGAGAGAGAGGGAGATTTGGGGGGATGGGGAGGATGGGGAGGATGGGGAGCAGAGGGAGGGAGAGAGGACGACGGAACAAACGGGGGAGGAGGCAAGAGCGAGAGGAGGAAGGAGAAAACGGAGAGGACAAGGTCGGACTGATCCGAGGCTCTAAAGCTCAAAACCCAAAAAAAACCCTGGTGAACCTCAACCTAGGTGGCACGTGGGTGTTCATCCGCCCCTAAATGGCTCGGCATAGGTTATGATCCATGGAAACACATCTTTGTGAGTCCCCCTTGTCCCTCCCAAATCGACGAGCGGCTACTGGATGTGTTGACCGAACCTCGTGTTGGCTTGCTTCAACTGCCTAGAACTGCCCAACATGTTTTAAGACAAAAGAGAACTGGCAAGCGGGAACCCTCAACAAAGGAGACACGTTATGATGAGAACCCTCGTTGCCCTGTTAAACTTTAGGTGTTCCTTGGGGGAACCGCATGGATGTTTACAAGAGCTGGAGCCCACAAGCTCTCGCTGGGTCTGCTGTTTGTTCAAAGGGCATGCCAATCCGGTTGTCCATCCCCAATCCCTAAAGGAAAATGAAACAACACCAAGGATTGAGGATTGAGCCGACCCGACTGGGCTGTCAGCAGACTGGTTGCAACCAGAAAAGGAATTTGAACCTCATTCACAGAACTCTGAAAGGAACGATTTGTGAGCCCGGGGGCATGCCAGTATCATCTGGAAATAGGCGAACCTTTTCCGGATGTGTCCCCACTTTTGAAACTGTGGGAAAGTTTAATCCAAAGGAATCACTGGGTTGGTCTTCCGCCTGAGCAAAAGGTCTGAGAGTGCAACCTTGCATTTGTAAGGTGGAGAAGTCGCTTGTTTGTAGGTCTAATAGGTCATCCAGTCACACTAAAAACCAGCCATGATGTGAGGATAAAAACAAGCCCTCAAATCAACTACCGTCCAAGTGCCAAAGATAGATTTAAAAAACAAACAAATAATGCTCAAGCAAAGACATGACAGCAACTCTGAGTTTCAGGGTCCGTTGCAGGATGCTGGGCTGCTTCAGCGATTCAGCAACCCCTTTTAGCTGATCTCGATAATCCCCTCACGAAGCAGATAAGCGACCTGCAAAACTGTACATGTTCGTCCGGAAAACGCTTTCTTCGCAAGCTAGTCATCCTTTTTGGGGCTTCGCTCCATCCTTTTAAAGTGAAGCAACTGGTGATGCATCAAGCTTTGGGGTGGTCCAACTGCTTTGGGCTTTAAGCGCTTTCAGTCAGTCGCGGGCATCGCTCGCTCGTGGCTACGGACCTACAAATGGGTTGCTGGCAAGACCCCTGTGCAAAAGTGTTTGACTTTTTGTGGCCTTCATGGAAACCCCTTGATTTCAACCAAAAAGTTCAAGTCTAAAGATCCAACCCAATAGCAATTACGTATAAATGGTGGGGCTTCCGAACTCTCCACAGCTCAGCATGACATTTAGGGTTCTCGTTTTGTGCGTCGCCTTTTCGTGGGCTTGGAGCAAAAACAGCCTACGCAAGCGCTTTTCATCGCCGGGCCAGCTCAGGCGGCTTTTGGTTTCGAGGAACTCCGCGTTTGGCGGCTCACCCAGCATTGACAAGACGGGCATCGCTGAGGCTGCCACTCCTTGAACCACCGAGTCCGTTCCTCGCCTGGCACGGATCTGGAGCACAAGTTCGACTCGCTCATCCCCTGTCAGATTCCTTTGGCGAAAGAATCACCTCACTTCCTGAGGCAAGCTCTAAAGCAAGCAACATACAATCATACTCTTAAAAAAGAAACCGTCATGGCCAGTTGCAGGTGGGACGCAACAAGCTGTTGGCTCTAACCCACCTGCTGCAAACTAGACAAACTACGAATTGCTTTGCTTCCACTCATATTCATATATATTTGTTTGTTTGCACTCAAGCATATGCACATACATATATATGTATATATATATATAATTTATATATACATAGATATGTAGATGCTTCTATATATATATATATATATATGTGTGTGTATGTATATACACGTATATCTTCCCAGCAACATGGCCCAAGCCCAGGGAAACCCACCGCCGGGTCTCGGCGCCGGGTCTCGCCTTCCAGCTTCTCCGGAGGGCCCCCATCGAAGACCCGCAGCTCACGGCGCAGCTCGAGGCCCGGCCCCTTCTCCTCCTGAGATAACTGCGGCCAAGATCAGGTTGGATGGTTTGGTTTGGTGGTTAAATCCGCGCGGAGATCAGGTTGGATGGCTTGGTTTGGCTTGGTTTGGTTTGGTTTGGTCCCGCGTAGGTTAGATGGTTTGGATGGTTTGGAGTGGATCGGCTTGGGGGTTCAGGAGGGGATTTGTTTGCCATGAAATCAGGCTTTTTCTCTCTCTCTCTCTCTCTCTTTCTCTTTCTCTTTCTCTTTCTCTGCCGTTGCATCAGAAAGGTCCCGCGTAGGTCAGGTTTGATGCTTTGGATGGTTTGGATTGATGGTTTGGTGGTTAAGGAGGGGTTTTGCCACGAAAATAATCAGCTTCCCACTGATAGGTTTGGATTGGTGGTGTAGTGGTTGAGGAGTGGTTTCCTACTTACCCTCTACATGAACCAGGGAGGTACCTGAGTAGATGCGCCGGGGGGGGGGAGGGGAACACCACCCCGTGCATTCTTGGGATTGCAACAAGCGAGCTTTACCTTTGGCCACCGTAAAGCCTGGAGAAAGCTCAGATCTTTGATCAGCATCTCGGACCGTCGCAACCAATAAATCAACTTCGAACCCAATGCGAAAGCAAACCGACCTAAAATCATGTTGCCGGGTCAAGCTGTTGTACATACTGCTTTGCTTTGCGCAGTAGTTTGCGTGCCTCTGCATGTATTTTGTTTGCTTCCCCTGCGCATTCTTGCCGTTGCTTTCCGCACGCGTTTGTGCGCTTCTCATGTGGAGTTCAGCTGCGTGCTCGTCGTATGTGACAATCTTGGCTTTGGAAGCTACCACCTGTCGCAGGATCTCACGCACAAAGTAGTACTGCTTGAGGATTCATCGGGGCTAAAGCGACTTCATGACTGTGTCACGCATGCTTGTTGAATCCGTGCGTGTTGAAAAGGAGTCGGCAAATAGCGTGAATATACATATATACGTACAGATAGATCTGCATATTAATATATAGATATATATGTACATAATGTTTATCTGCATGTTTCATCATGTTTCTATCTACCCAATTTTTGCGCATCTGCATGCATACCTTGATGAGACGGGTTTCGTTTGAGCATAAGCCCTTTGAATCATTACCCAGGTGGTCCAGGTGTAAAACTCTTCATGGACGCTTGCTCTTAGGAACCAGCAACCCTCCAGCAATGTGGGTCGCTAACCAAAAGGGGATCCGCCAGTTTGACACTAGTGCTCGATTCCCTTCAAAACCAACAGGGGAAAGTAAAAAGTATCCTTAAGCCAATGGACGTCTACAGGTTTCTTGGGGACTGTGCACAGGCCCCCCCAAATTTTGGCGTTCCTTTTAGGAGCTTGAAGGGTGCTTGGAAAGCTGGCCTTCCGAACCGCAAAAAGACCAAGCCACAAGACTAGACATGTATGGACAACGGGACTTCTCGGGCCGACGGTTTGATTCTCAAAAGGGGGTCTCTTTAAATGGTGTCGGGTATCTCCAGTGGGGCCCAGCTGGAAACCTGGGAAATCGTGGGCAAGGCCTTGCCATCTCTTCTTGTCAGCCAGGGCCTTTCGACTGCCACTTTTGGGCGTCGGAATAAGGTCGAAGGAATAAGGCGCCCGAGGTGCCGGTTACAACAAAGTGCTTTGACCTGAGGGTGCCCAGATTGTGCTTGTGTGAGGTCTTGTGTGTGTATGTCGAAAGTGAGGGACCGTCGGAACGGCTGGATCTTTGGAGAAACTGGGTGGGGTCGACTGAGTCGTGGGGTCCTCCTCGCTGCTGCGCGGCCACAGCAGCGTGGTCAAGGACTCACAGGGTTTGGGGGGAATTGTTCGCCTTCTGCGATACCACTTGGTTGCTGGCTGTTGACCCCCCGGCAAAAAGTTATTAACTTTTTTTGGGGAGTTAGTGGAAAACACAACTTGATTCCCAAAAGTTAAAGTCTAAAGATACCAGGGCTCCCTACTTTTCGCACCACCTACGAAACCCTGGAATGATGATTCACCTGTGAATACCAACAAGCAATGGCTTTCCATGGTTTCAAAGTGGTGCAGGATTTCTTCCATCCACAGTATGTCCCCCCTTCCCCTTTTGAGTTTCATGTGGACTTGCGGGGGTGCGCCCTCTAAATCTTTGAGCACCGCACAGGGCAACATGGAACCGGTACCTCTCCTTCAAGTGAAGGGTTAGTCATTGGGCAGTGGTATCACAGTGGCAAGGCAATCCCCACAACCCCGAGCACTCGTATCGGGGAGTTAGTAAGTGTTGAAGTGCACGCTGAAACTCATTTCCAAAAACATGAGGCCACCCCCCTTCTGGCTTTCAGCAATTGACCATCTGATATCTACAAGGTGATGTTTTTCAACTGAAAGGCACATTAATCTTGGAACGCGGGTTGTTTGCTGAAATTGCTCAAGATGCTTCTCCGAATTTGGGGACCGCACTTCATATGCTGGGTGTCCTTTTGGTTTCCCATTGAATTTGCCACCCTATATTTTGAGGTAGAGCATTTCTGTTTTCCATCGCTTCAGACTATGGAGCCTCAATGGCCAATGAAAACTGCGATATGTATTATATATATATATAATTGGCTTACAGGTAGCTCAAAGCAAACCGATATGGGAAGTGTAGCCACAACTTTGCATTGAACATCTTCAAGTAGGACTGGGCCAAGCTGAAGCATCCCAAATGGGCTTCCCTTTCAAGGGCCGTTTGGGTGACGCGCTGGTGCAGTTTTCAGCTTCCAATCCTGGCCGTTCTCTTTGTCTTCCTTCGGCTTGGCATCACCGTTCTCCTGGGCGCATGAATCCCTTGCGGTTGAGTGTTTGGTGCCGGGGCTGTCATCTTGTGAGGGCCTCTCTTTTTAGGCGGCTGAAACGGAAAGCACAGGGAACCCACCCATTTTCGTGGTTCCCACATCTTGAACTTGCGGGGTTCCCACATTTGAGACAAACCGAGACATGTGCTTCCATTCTGCCATGTGAAGGCTGGTTCCCAATGCCCGTCCTTGTGGTTGGTTTCCTGCTCCATCTTGCGCACAAGGTTGTACCTTTGCTCCACCTCAGCAAGTGATCACATCCAACATGTGTTTTGTTCCCCAGCTTGCCCAAGTAAAACGACATCTTTAGATTAACTTTAATTAGATTGTGGTCCGTACCACGCCGCAAGCCTCACCTGGAACCCAAACTGCTTAAACAGGGGGTCCCCAAAAGGAGATTGTTGTGTGGTTCAAGTAAATCTGCAGGATAGTTCCAGTGAAGCTTAAATTGAATAATGACATCACATCAATTCTTGATTTGTCTCCTTCCGCTTCTGGAGGGATTCTGTATGTTGGTCCCACACTATCTTGGACTTAATTCCGGGCAAACACTACAAATCATATAATTAGGTTTTCACAGCTGTTTGCTTGACCTGGGCACGACTGGAGACTTAGTCGCCCATGGTCCCATGGTGCCACCTGACATGGGAGTTGGGGGTTGGGACCGGCCAAATGTGTGCACGTATACTGCATTCTCTCGGCCATCCCATGGTTCGTGATGATTTGGAGCAGTGCTGATGGGCTGGTGATGAAGGCCATTCTCATCATTAGTTGGACTATGATGCTTACATGGTGATGGCGATGATCATGATGACGACCATGTGCGCATGCATGCATGCATGCATGCCGCTGGGGCGCCGGCCACTGGCCAAACACATGTTCTTGAAGCAACATGCTTGACACATCAACTCACGGGGCAACGTATGCAGCTCAGCACAGGACTGCAGCCTCCAGGGTCAAGCCGGCACGCTCCGCCATGCCAGCGTAGGCCTAGCCACCGGGTCAACTGGTGGAAAATGGTTGCCCCCCAAATGCCCTGAAACTCCACGTCCCCCCACCTTGCATGTCACCGTGACTGAGTTGTAGGGATGGCTCCCAACATCTGCCCGGAAAATCCGATTGCCAACGGCTGGACAGAATCGACATGAACTCCTGCCTCGCTCACAACACATGAGAAGCGCCCAGCATCCACTGTTGCTTGGTTCTAAGATGATCAAAAGGCCTTAACCATCCTCACTATAAGCCCCAAAATCAGAGACTAGAACCTGGAGTGACGCATGTGAGCGCGAACAGTTGGCAGCGCGGTGCCAAAAAGTCACCCACCATGCTTCGTAAACATGTCTAAGCTACATGAAAAGAACAGCTGGCAGCCATGGCAATGATGGCTCGAGATCAGCTCCCTGCTGGCAACCAACGCACCTGGAGACAAAGCCCGAGCACATACGCACACAAGCAACCAACCACAAAGACACATAATCCACAACCCCACCCACCCGCGCCCGAGCCCATGCCCGCACACGCGCGCACGCGCGCACGCACGCACATGCAAACGTGCGCAACCACGCCGGAGGGTATGCCATTAATCGCCTCTTGGAGGGTTCACGGGAAATACCCCTGGTTGACTCGCAGCTTGCGGCATCCGCCTTGTGCAAGAATAGAAGTGCAAGGTCGGACAACTCAGCTTTTGGTTCCCACTTGCCGGAGCCAATGCATGAGAATCCCAAAAAGCACCAGCCCCCCACCCCCAAGTAGCCCCTTCCGGCGGTGACTCAAACAAACTGTTTGATTGGATCCCGGCAAGCATTCCCACTTACCACAGGCGAGCAAAGCACAAAGGATCCGAGACAACCAGCACCCAGTACCTGAGTAATAAACATCACCTTGGTAACTCAGAAGCAGCGCAAGCAGCATTTCATTTGATAGCAGGGCTTGGTGGCCCAAGAGCTACCCCCGACTGCGACGCCTTCCGAACCTACTCCCCTGCTAAAAGCTTAAGTTGGCCAAAAGTTAAAGTCCTAACATCCAAGCAAAATGCACCAAAGCAGAATCACCCCCTTCGGCGCCTTGCGAAAAGCACCGTGGGTGGGCTCCGTGAAGGGCCCCGGCAACAGCTCCTGAGCCATGTGGCATCCCCGGCAGTGGGTGCAAGCGCCAACCACGGGTTCAGTCACTGGTGGGGCGACAGCCCCCATGTAGTGAGCAGGCAGGATGTCAAACAGCTTTTTTTTTAAAAAACTGAGTGCTAAGTTGCAGATAGTTCTCCTGCTTCCAGTCAAAGAAGCTGACAAGGTTTTGGACGACCTTCCCTTTTGGGACGGTCCTTGTCCAATCGTTGGAATGAGGATCTGCCCCAAGGAAACCCCAAAAAAAGCAGGAAACAGGGCGGAGCTCGCTCCGGGCAAAGACCTGAGTGTCTGGAAAAAGAAGACACACCAAGTGTCTGGCCCTCAAACAAAGCCCCTGCGAACAACTCACTTCTTGAGTGGATTACCACCAAAACGATCTTCCCAAAAAGTTTAAAGTCCGGGAACTCAGGAAGTGAGACAATTCGGCTGGTTTCCCCTTGGTCCGAACAATTGTTTCCAACAACAACATACCTATGAGTGTCCGGCTGGCTGGGACGAAGAGAGGCGTCCAAATAATCAGTGCCAGCCCACCATTCCTGTGGGTTCTGAAAGCTTTTAAAAACCCAGGCCTAAGGAAAGCAGCTTCTCCTTTTGGAATAGATGGATTCTACTGGATGATTCGACCCAAACTGATGAGAGGGCAATGGCCCTTTTATGCTAGATCCCATTGGTAAATGATGAAGACAGACAACCATTGGAACCCATCCAACCTAACCTAAGGACGGGCACCAGTGACTGGAGCCCAAAGCAATCCCAGAGCAAGTCTTGGGTGGTTCGAGCTTCGGCTCGAAGCAGAGCTCCTTATCTTTGGCGACATTACCATGCCACAGTGTGTGTGTGTGGGTTGTACGCATGTATTACGCTTGCAGTACTACTCACAAGGGTGTACAGGAGCCGAGTTGGAGAGAAACAATTCACGTGTTGTTGTTTCCCGGCGCGTTGATTCGTTGGAGGGACCCCTCCAAGAAGAATATGTCAATGACCACTGGGCAACTGGGGAAGTACTTGGACGCAGTCGGAGCATTCTACATTGCACCTCTGTTGGGTTAGAAAGTGGGTCAACTTGGTCCAGCCCAAGATTCAACCCAAGTTTGAACGCCACCTTGCGTGCAAACGCACGTGTCGCGGCTGGCAATGCAGGGGCGCCTACATTTGCCCTTTAAAAGTCGGCTCAGCAAAAAGAAAAGACTTCAACATGGCCCGAAAGGGGATGTTTAACACCGCAACCACAGGGAAGCCTGAACTAGATGACTGGGTTCAGCTTGGTGCATCTCTCTCTTCGGCTGAAAACGCGATTCCACGGATCTGGGTCTAATTAGCGGGTCCGGCTCTCGCTTGGGAAATTCAATATCCCCAGACCTGTGGAAAGGGGACAGCCCCTAAAAAAGGATCAACAAGAAAGCCGAAGGTTTGGGTGTTTGTGAATTAGCACCTTGTTTCCGCCGTCCTTCTTGTGCCCGGCACCCTTGCCGTCGAAGCACACGATCATGCAGGACAGGTTGTCCTACGTCGACGGGCTTGGGTAGCCTCATCTTGGTCTGCTACCCCCCTTAGCCCTTGGCGGTCGTGACTTTTGGGGTACCTCCTTTTGGAGTTGCTTGAGAGGGAACCAAAAGGACCCCCGGAATCACCTCCCCCCGGCGTTTCAATCATCTGGCAGCAGTTCTGCCTGGGCAGGCAATGTATGCCTGCCAAGCTGACTTGACTTCTTCCCCCTGGCCTCCCACGATTCAAGACAAAGTTAAGTCGCACCATGTCTCTTTCTTCCCCTGGACAAGGCATCTGGGTGAATTATAATCTTTCGCCAACCTGAAAAAAGGTGGTTGGGGGCGATATTCCCATACATTCCCCACATAAACCACCATTTGGGGTGAATTCGGTCGTGTGAGGTCCTTATAATTCGCCCAGAGGCATAGACAAGAACGATCATTGTCTAAGGGCCGAAGGCACGACGCAAGTTTCGGTTTGGTGAGTGGCGCGTCCCCCCAACCCCCTAGCGCCACTGATGCATCTACAAGAACAGCAACTAGCCATTGAAACAGCTACACCCCGCTGATAAACATAAAACAACAAAACATAGGTGGCCTTTTGGAAAAAAGATGGCCCGGGCAAATGGAACAAATTTCATCTAAACCAGGGCCCTCTATGTTTTAAGCAAATCAACCACAAAAGGACACCTATGCAACAAAAACCTTTGGAAGGGAAACTTTTTTGTGGGAATTTGGGGGACCCCCTTTCGGGGTTCCAGGGTCGGCTTTAGAAAAAACTTGCCGCTAAACAAGAAAGAAAAGGGCGGCATGGGTTTGCTTTCGGTTGGCGGCCCCCCAAAGAGAAGAGCGCCAGCTCCTGTTCGGCTATAGTGTTTGAGGCAAACCCAGCTCCAAAAGAAAGACAGCACTGGTACCATTTCGGGCTTGGTGGGTATTCAAGGCAAGCCTGAAACATAGGAGTTTTCACTGCGGCAGGCGTGTTAAGTGCGTGCCTATCTATGGAAGAAAACAAAATGGGAAAACAGTCGGGCGCGTGTTTTTTCGACTTTCCTGTGGGCATTCAAGGAAACCTCACCAGCTCGAAAGTCGCCGTTCGTGCTCAAGCGTTGTTAGCGGCAAACCGACCCCAAATAAAGGGCAACCAAGTTGTTGTTATTGTGGCACAAGAAGTCTGTCAATGTTTGGCTGCCAGACCCCGTCCCATGCAAAGAGACCGCGCTAAAAATGAGGGAGAAGCAAGCACTAAGGGCGTTGCTCCAGTCTAAAATTTGTTTCCTGGGTTGCTCTTCCCCCCTGAGCCAAGGGTCTGACCTTTGGGCCTACTGGAAAAGACAGTTGTTTCCCGGTCGATCAGCGTAAAATCACACCAAAATAAAACCCAATTGCCAATTGCGATAATTTCAGGTACTTCGGCATCGTATAGCACTAAAAACTAAAAGGCTAAAAAGCTAAGGGGATGGCTGGGAGCCACCAAGACATGGTTGCTATTGCTCGCACCCATGATTGCCCTGTCCGCTCCCCAAAAGAAGCGCAGCCGAACAGTCCATAGATCCG